CACACATTGCCAGTGGTTCTTTATGTATCTCAACAAAACTATACCCATTTTTTAGTAACTACAGGGAAGACTATTATTTTTGCTGAGCTTGGGGGAGGGTAACAAGAAGGAGAGATCAACATAGAGATTATTTTAATTTTTTCTCCCAGGAATATCATAAATATTCCTCATGCTGCCTTAGGATCATGGTTTAATGGCCCTCTGACATGGAGATAACTGTATTTTTAATGTCTATACTTCTGATTAAAGGCAGAGGACAGCTACCCAGAGAGTGAAGAACTACTGTGTCAGGAGGGTGAGCCAAGTGGTTGGTGCTGCCTTTCCTCTGGAGCATCTGCTGACTCTAGAAAGGGGCTGAGAGCCTAGAAGGCGGAATGGTATTTTTGACAGCCTTGCAGGGCTAGGGGCAGGAATTATAATTGAGGGCCTATAAAGTGGGGGCCCTGATGACCCCCCTGTTCACTTTGGGTTGAGAATCTTAAGGGCCACATCATAGGACTAATGGTCGGCCTAAAGTAAACAGATGCCCACAAGGACTTCAGCTCTGATCTGAATATCTCAGTTTTGGAGGTCAGCATAAGGTGATCATGAATGGCTGGTGTACCCAGGGGTCTGATAGAAGAAAATGGAAATAATTTTTGGAAAAGATGACATCATCCTGGGCTTAAAGTTATTTTTATAAATAATTTTGCAAATATCATTTCTGAAATCTAATAAAAACGTGCCAGATATAAGACAACATGAAAACAAATAAGAGGAGAAAAAAATAGAAGAGGCACATGGGGCTTCAGATATTGAAGTCATCAAAATAAATTTTAAAATAAACATAATTTTGCTTTTTGTGTTGAAAGATTTAGAAGACGAGAATTAGAATATTTCAGGAAACTAGAGTTATAAAATAAGACCCAAATGCATATTCTAGAAATGAAAAATATGATCAGAGAAATTAAAAACTCAATGATGCATTTAACAGTGGATTTGCCAGAGCTGAGGAAATAATTGTGAGTTAGAAGATAGGTCACTATCCAGAATGAAGCACAGAGACACAAAAGGAGGGGAAATACAAAAGAGAGAGTAAGGCGTACAGGGGATGCAATGAGAAAACCCAACATATGGCCAATTGGAGTTGAAAAAGGAGGAGTAGGAGAAAATGAGAGCAGAGGCAGTATTTGATGCAATAACGACTGAAGAACTTCCTAAAACTGACAAAGAACATCAAGGAAAGGAGAGAAACCCTGGGAACACTAAGCAAGCTAAATAAAAATAAATGGGTATTTTAGGGGCTGGCCCCGTGGCCGAGTGGTTAAGTTCGCGCGCTCCGCTGCAGGCGGCCCAGTGTTTCGTTGGTTCGAATCCTGGGCGTGGACATGGCACTGCTCATCAGACCACGCTGAGGCAGCGTCCCACATGCCACAACTAGAAGAACCCACAACGAAGAATACACAACTATGTACCGGGGGGCTTTGGGGAGAAAAAGGAAAAAATAAAATCTTTAAAAAAAAAAAATTAAAATAAATGGGTACTTTGGCACATAATAGTTAAACTGCAGAAAACCAAAGAAAACAATTTTTAACATAGACAAAGATTACCTCAAGGAAGCAGCAATTAGAGAGATCTGAGTTCTAAATAGCAACAATGCTCACCAGAAGAATGGAATGTTTTCAATGTGCAGAAACAAAATAACAGCCAACTCAGAATTTTATACTCTTTGAATGTATCCTTCAAGAATGAAAATGAAATACAAATATTTTCAGACAAATGAAAGCTGAGGGAATTCTTTAGAGCAGATATTGCACTAAATAAATACTAATTAAAGAATGTTCTTCAGGCAGTAGAAAAACGATCCCAGATGGGAGACCAGAGATAAAGGAAGAAGTGAAGAATAATGAAAATGAAAAATCATGGGGACACATATAAATTAATATCTACTGTATACAAAAACAATAACAATGTCTACATGAGCTTAAAGTATACACAGAAAAAAATGACAGTAATATATAAATCGAGAAGAGACTGAGTGGGGTTAAAAATGTTTTAATGTCCTTGACTAGTCAAGATTGCAAGCTGTAATCTCTAGGCTAAACATTAAAACAACAGTGACAGAACAGATAACTTTCAAGAAAAAGAGAAATGGGGTTATAAAAATAATCCAATGGGGACAGAGTGGTCTTGTTATAAATGGACTTGGGTAAATGGCTGTCCATATGAAAAAAAAAGAAACCCAGAAAGTTGACTCCTACATAAAAATCAATTTTAGATAGATTGTATTCTAACTGTGAAAGAAGGAACAATAATGCTTCTAGAAAATAATTTAGGAGAATAATTTCATGACTTCAGGGTAGATGAAGACTTTTTAAAGAGGACAACCAAACACTGCAAAAAAGCAAGCAAGAAAGAAAAAGATTGACAATATTTGGCTACATTTAAATTAGAAACTTCTGTCCTTCAAAGACGTCATTAAGAGAGTGAAAAGGTTACATAATGGGAGAAGATTTTTGTAATACATATATCTAACAGAGGTTCGTTTCTAGATTTAAAGCAATCCTATAATGAATACTAAGAAGAAAGAATGCAATAGAAAAATAGACAAAGGACTTGAACAGACATTATACAAAAGAGGATATCCAAATGGCCGATAAATAAATAAAAAAGGCATTTGATGACATTAGTCATCTGAACCACAAGGAAATATCACCACATTAGCTAAAATTAAAATTACAGATGATACTAAGTGTTGATGAGGATTTGGAGCCATGCAAACTCTCATACCCACAGAGTTGGTGGGAGTGCGAATTGGTACAGGCATTTTGGAAAACAATTTGCTGTTATCTACTAAACTTTAAGACATGTGTACCCTATGATGTAGATATTCCATTCTCAGCTTTATACCCGACAGAAGTGTGTGTGCCAGTGTACCAAAAAACATATGCAAGAATATTTATTTAAGGCAGAATTATTTGTAATAGCCTCAAACTGTAGAGAACTCAAAATGTCCATCAACAGCTGAATGAATAAATAAATTAGCATATTCATACAATGGGATATGATACAGTAACAAAAATGAATGAACTACCACCAAATGGAATGACTTCTAACAAACATAGCGTTGTGTGAAGGAAGTTAGACACAAGGGGAAATAGTCTGTATGATTCTATTTATATAATGTTTAAAAACCAGGCAAAACTAAAATATAGTGTCTAAGAATACAGGCTTAGATAATAAAACTATGAAGAAAGATAAGAAAGTAACTGGAATAATAGTCAAGATGGTTGTCACCTTTGGCAGGGGCCAGAGCCTATAGTTATTGGGGGGGATGTGAAGGGTGTTTTTACTATATGGGAAGTGTCTATTTTTTTACCCTCGTGGTGATTACTTGGGGGATCTCTGTAACAAATGCCTGAGCTGTACTTTTTCCCTTTCTTGCATGTTCCTGTATGTGTGCTGTAATTCACAGTTAAAAACAAGATAATGGAGCAAATAAACCAAACAATGACCTGGTAGTCTGACAGTAGACAAGATTCTGGTCCTAAATTTTTAACTGAGACTTTATATGGTAGCTTCACTCTCTGTTTATAGCCTAAATAATGCATTCACAGGGCCTACTGAGAAAATGTCAAAACAAGGAAATGGAAGTCTATCCCACTTTTTGGTGCCTATTCAACTTTGGCCTATTTCCAATTCCATGGAGATTTGAGAGTTTTATAGGTATTCATCATTACAGGTCAGCTTCAATTTAAAAATCTGACTTGAGGGAAGATCTTGGAAAACAAACACTTTGTGGGGGAGCTAAGCTTTGTATATTTGCAGAACAGGGTTAGATCTGGTGCTGTTTGTGGTTACCACAAACGAAGGGAAATCAGTGCAGACATTTTCAAACAACATTCTCTGAAATACTCATTACGTTGAGTCCACAGAGATATTTGCAAGAATTTTTTTAAGTTATTGTAACCAAAATGCATGGTAGATTCCCCTCCTTTGTGTCAATATATCACAAAACAAATCCTATTCTAGTATCGAACTCTGAAGCTACTGAATTTTTTCAATACATATAATCTATGTCATTTAAGTGCTGATAATTGTAATGAAAAGAAAACTTTCTTACAAGAAAGGCTAGAGTTCACAGGAGTTGTATCTGGTAATGAGGGCTAATTGTCCTATTGGAGAGTGACATCAGGTCGTCTTGGCATATGAGAGTACTCTGGCCATCTATATTGCTATCATGAATCCAAAACTCAATATATTTATCCAAAAATTGATAATGGCAGGTTGGATGACCTTACTGGTCATCCCAGACCTTATAAATATGAATTCTATGTACAGCTTTAATATCATATATTTGTTGAGCATCCACCGTCTGGATTTGAATGTATCAGTGCTGGCAAATTCAGCCTCTGTGAACATAACATATAGGAAGAGAGACACACAGGACACACACTGTGACATCAGGTTGGCAGTCTCCCTGTGCCAGCACTTTATATCCTCTGCTCTGATCTGCACAATGACCTTGCAAGATGGCCACTGTTTACCTTTTTACAGAAAAGGAAGCTGAGGCTCAGAGAGATTAAGTTACATCCCCAAGGTCCTAGAACTGAGTGACAGTGACCATGGAAAAGCAAAAGACAGTTTTACCTCATGGCTCCCTGGTATATGATGAATACTTGGTTTTTTGGCTTGTACGACTCTGACTAAGCTGCACATTTGCTTTAAAACACTCAGCCTATTTGTGTATAAATAGGATATAATGTTTACCTGCTAAATGGAAGTAAAGGCTAAGTTTGCACTACCACAAAGTGGGGGAGGGATTTGTCCATACTTGGACAGAAAACAAATGTTTCCCAAGCAAGAGTCAGATAGTGAGTTCTGTGCAGGGACGAGGCAGGGCCTGCTTCCTAGTGGCATTCTCCTTTGAAATGCTGGCCCAGGGGAACTTCAGAGGGAGAGACGAGCTGTGGGCAGGAGTCTGCGGGGGTGAAGGAGATGCAGCGTGCCCCAGCTCCTACCTTCTGATTGATTTTCATCGTCTCTTCAGTGTGGTAGAGAAGGAGCTTTTCGCCTGAAGAAGTCAGGTTCACGTATACCTGGAGGCAGGGGTACTGAGACAGTTTCCAGCAGTCTGGACCACAGCTGAAGGAGCAATTAAACGTTTCCGTGATGGACACATTCAGCAAGGTGCATTGAGACTCTTCAGTCCAGACACTACGGAGAGAGGGGGAGAGTAACACAAGTCCAAATGCTAACGGCAAGGAAGGTGCAATCGGACAATCACTTGCCAGCTTCTTAACTTGTAGCATCTTTTCCAAATCTATGACACAATCTCTTTGTAAAAGTTTATGCCTGTGAATAGAGAAGCTTTTGGCAAATTACAATACAAACGCAGACAAACTTTGCCTGGCACCTGAGAGCTTTTTCAGACTTCCATTGGATATAGAGTAGTATAATCTCCAAGGCTTAAGTTAGATGTTCTCCTGATCAAATTCACTGTAAGCATAAGGCATCTTTTTACATCGCCACCTGCACTCACCCTGTATTTCTGTATTGTAAGCAACTTCCTGCCGCACCCCAGTCACCAAGTCTGCTCTGAACTCTCTTCATCCCAATCCCCACGCCAGCCCAGTGTGTGCACAGAGAGGGTGTAAGGGAGAAGGGGAGAGAAGATGGCAAATGTGTTCAGGGGCTGGAGGTCCAACTTGACAGATGGAAGGAGAGTGATATATTTCTTTAAGGTCTTTCTAATAAGGGAGAAAAGCTAACTCCATCTTTTGTTTATACTAAGATCACTTGTTGCGTGACCTCTTCACCCTAATTGGTAATGTACATACATTATCTTCTTTTGTCCTCCCGACAACTCTACAAGTTGGGTATTAATTCCTTTTAAAGGTGAATGAACTGAGGGTCGGAGAAATCAAGTAACACAGAAGGACACACACTTAGTAAGTTATGGAAACTGTGATTCCACCCAATCGTATATTTCTTTAAGACTCAGGCTCATCCGGGTGTATGCACTGCCTCCCCATAAACACAGTGGAAAAGGGGCCCTTCTATGCAGACTAATGGGTTCACATCAGTGCCCTAGGACCTCAGAACTAGAAAGATTTAAAAAAAAAAAACCCAGGGGCTGGCCCCGTGGCCGAGGGGTTAAGTTCGTGCGCTCCGCTGCAGGCGGCCCAGTGTTTCGTTAGTTCAAATCCTGGGCGCGGACATGGCACTGCTCATCAGACCACGCTGAGGCAGCGTCCCACATGCCACAACTAGAAGGATCCACAACGAAGAATATACAACTATGTACCGGGGGGCTTTGGGGAGAAAAAGGAAAAAAAAAAAAAAAAACCCAAACCAAAAACAAACTCCAGCTGCCCATTGGCCAGCCTTTCATTCTAAAATACTTATAATTTTATGATCAAGAGTGACATTTGTGATTAGGAATTAACACACCAGCAATCAGCGCTCTGCTTCCGGGTATAAGCTGATTACCATAGTGATCAGAAAACAGCACGTCTTCTTTGCAAATTAATACCCTTCCTTTGGCTGGACACGTGTTGACAGGGCCCCCCTTTTCATGTCCAGTTTTCTGCTAGAGGCCGGATCCTAGCCCTGACCCCCTCTACTGTGGCAAATTGTATTTTCCTGGGACAAGGGTGGTCAGATTTTGCCTATACAAGGAGAGAAAATGTCTTAGATGGTTCTAAGCAGATGTGAGGATCTGAAAGTGGTTTTGGAATCAGTGAGCACTCAGGGCCTGAGGCATCAGCGCTTTCATTGAGAGGGAGCACAGCTGAAAGCATCAGAGACACAGAACGGAGCAGCCACAGGCGGGAAAGATGACGCCTTAATTTTAGCAAATTACTGTATTTCAGCTAGATTTTGCTTCTAACATGAAAGTATTAATTTAGGTGGAGAAATGAATGCCACAAAATGGTTTGATTCTCTTTTGGATTGAAATCTCAATTTTTCATTTGAAAGGGCCTCTTTCTATAAGCTGAGCCACTGTGAGACTTTTCGCATTAGTTACAGCAATGCTGGGCTCTCCTGTGCTCAAAGCGTCCAATTGATGGACAACAGTCAGCTAGAGGTGCCGTGGGGATTTTTCATGTGGCTTTCTCAGGGGGAATACACTGGCTATCTCAGTATTCAATTGTCTCCCTGTCTATTCAGTAAACCTGGGTCAAATATGAAAATGAAAGAGGTTTAGAATTGGTTATTTTTAAAAGTTAGTGCATAGCAGTGTTTCTCAGTCTTGACAGCATATTAGAATCAGCTGGGGAACTTTTGAGGCTACTGATGCCTGGGTCCCACTGCAGACCAATTAAATCTGACCTTCTGGGATAATGGTGGTGGGGCCTGGGCATCAGCATTTTTAAAAGTTTCTCAGGAAGTTTAAATGTACAGTTGAGAACCACTGATGTGTGGGGTGATGGAAGAGTGGGATGAGGTGGAAAAGGAATATGGTGGAGGACAGATAGAGGTGTGAAGAGGCAAGAATGGGGACTCTGGAATTAGAGTCCTCATCTTATCATATCTCTGCCACATGCTAGAGCTGTGTGACATTGGGCAAATTATATCTACTTTGAGCCTCAGTTTTGAAATTTTTATAATGAGTATATTCATACTTACTTTATAGAGTAGTTGTGAGAATTAAACAAGTAATGTATGGAAAGTCCCTGGCACATAGTAGACAGTTTATGTATACAGATATTTTTATCATCATTATTAGATAACGTTATTTAAAAATAGTATATGCCAGGCCCTGCTCAAAATTCTTACTGGGAAAGAAGGTGAGGAAGAGGACCTCAGGGCTGATAAGCTCTGGGGGGGTAGGGAGAAGGCAGAGATGAACGACATTACCCCGACCACCCAATGGCCTTACCTCTGCATGTATGAGCGCAGGAGTGTGATCCCCAGCAGAAAGTACATCATGATGGAGCACACCATCATGGCCAGTCCTAGGAGAATGGCCCGGTCCTCTCCTGCTTTCAGTGCTGTGACAGTTTTTCTTTTGTCCAGGAGGTCGTGGTCTCTGATTTTTTGGTAAATATTTCTGAGGTTGAAAATAATATAGTCTTACATGAAGTTCACAGTTAATCAACACGCCCCGAGAGAGTGGGTAAGTCTCTGGCCATGCCTTCCTAGGGCAGAGATGCCTAGAGTAGCCCTCCAAACCTGCCTGAGTGTGCCTGAATCCCACCATGTGACCATTGCCTCCCAACACACACACACACACACACACACACACGCACGTGTACCAATCTTGAGCAGAAACAAGTCCTCCTTCTTTACTTCGGGCCCAGTCAGCTGTAAATATTTTTCCCTTCTCTCTAAATCTACAGAAAGAAAGCAACCCCCACAACCCTTAAAATAATGCTTTGGATTTGCTGCCTCTGCCATTTAACCCCCAGCTGATGATCATTGATCTTTTTATACTCTCTGAATACCTAGTGGAGCATTAATTCAAATAAATGGCAACATACATCAGGAATCTATCAACTTAATACCTTATTTTTCCTCAGTAGTAACAGACAGAGCTTATTTTGGTTAACATTTTTTTCTCAAGCTTAGGATTGCTTAAGGATCTGTTGGCTTGAGATTTATAAGCGACATGAAGACGCAGTGTGGTGACCCAGGCTTCTTTTCTTATATGTGTAAACACTTGAGTGAGTTTGGAAAAATGTCATTCAAATCACGCCCAGACTACATGACTTTGGAGAGTTTTATTAGTATTTTTGTTTTTTACTTTAAAGCAGCAACATAGGGTAAGAAAAGCCATGAGATTGGAGTCCAACTGCCGCCTGCGTTCAAAACCTGATTTCACTGCTTACTACCTGTGTGATCAAAACAGGGTCCTCAGCCTTTCTGATTCCTGGTTTCCTGCAAGGAGTAAATAATGTTTAACTGCATTGTAATGGTTAAATGAGGTGACAAAAGTAAATCGTCCAGGAGAATGACTGACATAAGGTATTTACAAATGCTCCCATTGAAAAAATGGAGTGGGGAGCTACGGCTCCACGACATGAGCGTCAGAACATCCTAAAATTGCTGCTAGTCTCCAAAGACTTTTTAAAGGACAGAATGGCAAGAAAATGAATCATGTAGAAAGCTTATGAGTGGAGGGTCGGATTTGAAGCAAGATCTGGAGGAGAAGGCAGAAGAGTAAGAAGTTGCAGGATACTTGGAGAGAGTGAAAAGTATGGGGAGAAAGGGCAATGCTCAAGGATTCTGGCAAGGCAGGCGACCAAGGAGCGGCGCGGGGTGGCGGTCCGTTTCTATTTTGAGAAGGGAGCTTTGGATCGCCGGAGTGTGAAGCGGGGGAGTTGCTGGCCTTTAGGGCCTGGGAACAGAGAGGAGGACAAATAGAAAGCTGAAAATGGAGAAAGAAACTCTTATGCCTCTTTTTTTAGCTTCAGGCAAAAAGCCAATATAGGCAAGAATAACTTCAGATTTTCCTTTTAAATTTTTATCACTAGTCATTCTTGTTGCTTGGAAAAGAAACCAGAGTAGACTCCAGTCCAGAACTTGCAGGGGAGGGAAGAGAGGCCTGTTATTTCTGCAGTTGTGCGTATATTCAGGGCTTCTAATTAGCTGTGTGCTCCAGGATGGCCTTATTGCTGTTTATGGCTGGCATCCATTCTGGCTGGCTGGTTCCTTCTGGGCTGCTTGTTAAATATTTTGATTCCCTATAGAGATGTGAGAGCATGTATGTACTTAACATATTTCCAAAAGGTTTTAGATTAGAGTATTTATTAATCTAGTTATTAGAGAATAAAATTAACCAATTAGCTTACTGTTATTATTATTATTTTAAAGTTCTCTTCCTGAGGTAGTTTATACAAATCTTACTCTTTTCTTGAGGAGTGGACCCATTGTGGTAGGAGAATCATAGCTAAATTGAGGCCTTTGGTCCACATCATGACGTGTCCTTCCTGGCTCCATCCCGCCCTCACTCACCCTTTGCCGCTCATTATCCTCATTGCCAGAAGCCCTGAGAGCCCAAACCTTTCATTATTCTCCAGCTCCCAAACCCAATGCCCCTGGTCTAGCTGGCCCACCCTGCTTTGGACTTCCATATGTTGGCCACCATCCAACCGTCTAAATATTCCTATTCTTTTCTGAGATTTTCTTGGGAAATGTAAGATTGTATCAAAGCTCTTTAAACTTGAATGAAAAAAAAAGTCAGTGCCCATGAGCAACTGAAGACAGTGGGCAGGAAGACTTCTGAAACAGGAAGAGACAGGCTGAGTCTGAGTGGCTTCCAAGACCTGCTGGAAAATAATAGTCTGATGTTCCTTTGCTATTATTATTTATCAAAATGTATTTAATTCTGATGGCTGCCATTGAGATTTACATTTTCTGCAGATAGAAGTCAGCAAGGAGGAAGCAATAGTCTCACAGTTGCAGAGTGTTAGGCTGTCACACCGCATCACTTACGTCAGTCTACACCCATAAAAGAGATGCGGTGTAATCAGTCAGTTATGTCACCAGGACAAGAAGCATATAAAAATGATTCAAGTGGGTAATTTAAAAACAAATCACAATTTGGAAATGGTTAACAAATGTTCTTCATATGCTCTGAAATGTGTAGAGAAGAGGGGAAATGGTTGGTTTCCACACAGGCCAAAGGCATCTGGGAAATCGGAATAGTACTCAGCAAAATGGAATTGGGTGAGTGGGGTGAAATCCATCAATAAATTACTACTGAATTAATGAATAAACTAAGAATAAATTAATGATTTGGAAGAACAAAGAGTTCAGTTTAAGTCCACAAATTATCTTGAGTGCTGGTAACCTCTGGTTACTGGGTATATGGCCTCTAACCAATAGGAAGACAGAGATGAAGAAAAATATCAACATAAGGTAGTAAATTCAGTAAGGGAGCTATTCACAGAGAGAGTACAGAAGAGGAATAATTTTTCAGCCCAAGGGAGCAGGACGGGAGCAAGGGTTGAGGTTAGGGAAGGCTTCCTGGAGGAGTAATGCCTTAAACAGTATCTTTAAGGTTGAATCAGAGTTAACCAAATGAGACAAGGAGTCAAGAATATTTCAGACATAAGGAATCATGTGAACAAAGGGATGGACATTTGCAACTGCATGGTGACTGGCAGAAATTACAAGCATTTTAATATTCCTGGGATGAATATGGGACAGGGGAGATGGAGCACATGAGTTTGGAAAGGTAGCAGGTCATGAAGGGTTTTGTAAGTCATTTAAAGAACTTGGCCTTCATCCTGTACTTAACGGGAAGCTGTCAGGGGGTGATAGGATCAGAACTGAGTTTCAGAGTGGTCACTCTGGCTGCAGTGTGAAGATTAGATTAGAAACGGAACAAGACTAAAATCAGAAAGAAGGATTAGGAGATTATTACTGTAGTGTTGGCAAAGGACGATGAGGGCTGGACCAAGGATCTAGGTAGGGTAGAAGGAAAGAAAAGGATGTATGGAGAAATATCCAGGAGATGAAACGTCATGATTTGGTGATTGACAGGACATAGCGGATGATGAGGAAATGAGAAAAAGGATGTGGTTTAGAATTATGCCCAAGTACTCGGCTTGGATGATTGGGAAAATGGTAGAGAGGGTTAAAACAGGGATCCTTACTCCCCTACTGTTCAGGATTCTAAAGAGGGGAATTTTGCTGCCCTGGCTAAGAAGGGAGAGGCTGATTGTGCATTTATAGATTCTCTCCTCCACAAACAGAGTGTCCTGAGCTCAGGTGGAGGAGCAACTAATCTGATTGGTGGGAGGGGCCAGATCCTGATAGTCAGGGGCCAGGTCTATCTCTTGGGTGAGTTTGAAGATCACTGCTCATGCATGGCACATTTTTTTCCCCATTCTTTTGGATTTGTCTTTGTTTAGGCTTCCTGTGCCTTGGCCTTCCTATCTCCAGGTAGTAAGCCCCAGTTGGGGAAGGGAGTGTCCACAGCCTGAGACCAAGTTATAAGTTAGGTGGGCCCTCCCATGCCAAGTTGTCTTCAATGCTAGGGGAAAGAGCATGATGCTATATTTTGGGCCTCAGGCCTAAACACCATCCTGCATACTAGGAAGGCTTGTACTTTGGGGGTTATTGTGCCACTACTAACAGAGCTGACATTTCATCTCCCTTTGGATCTTTGTGTCTATTCTCTCTGAATCTACTTAAAGGAGGGCAGAGAGAGAAATAAGGGAACGAAGGCCAGTATAGTTCACTGAAGTAGAGATCTCAGGAACAAGAATGAGTCTGGGGCATGACTACAAATTCAGTTTCGAATATGTGGGGTGTCCAAGAGTAGGTATAGAGCAAGAATTTGGATTTGTAAGTTTGAGGCAGATCTAGCCTTGGTGTGTCCTGACAAGGCAGTATGTTTAAGCTCTGTTGAGGCAGCCTTGGCTTCATGGTGAACTATGAATCAATATGGTGGATACCAGTCAACATTTATACATGTTGACAACAGTGAATAGTAGATAGTCTTAACTACTATCTTTACTACACATACAGAGAACATTCTGTCCAAATCCTTTTGCAGAACTGGAATTATTAATAAATCCAGAAGGCAAATCCAAGTATAACAAAATATCTTGCATAAAACAAGATCTCAATTGTCCAATAAAGCTTCCTCTTCTCCCCCCAGCAATAGTCAACATGATACAATTTTATTTCAAGCTCCATATCTAGATAGTTTCTCTAAGTTTGATATTAGGACTCAGCCTGTAGTTCATAAGAAAATTACTTATGAGACTATGTATATACAAACATAGATATAAAAAGTAAAATGTGCAGGGAAGATTTTTCTCCTTGACCTTCACTCATTTAAATTCAGTTTCCCTTGGTAGTTAGCCAGCTGGGAGAAAAGTATTCAGGTTAAGGCAGGGTAAAGGTCATTTATTAATTCACTTGTTTATTCATTTGTCACCATTTTTACATCTTCATAAGATGAAACATGCTGATAAGTTCTGGGGGTACAAATTGAATAAGACGTCGTCCTGAGAGAGCATCGCAATAAGACTGATTAGAGAGGAGTACAAGAGGGAAGCCAGTCAATATGCTGGGGGCCAGTCTGCCAAAGGAGTA